TAAAACCACAGAACTCAAGGAGGGTGTACTTTCTTTTTCACAGGACTGTACACAAAGATATATGTGTGCACGCGCACACACATATGTGTTATAAAACAATTTTTGGCATTAACATTTCCAGTAGAGACCATTTTAAAAGAAAACAAATAAATATATAGCATATATAGTGGTTCAGAAAGGATTGTATGTCTCTGTGTGTGTGTGTGTGTGTGTGTGTGTGAGAGAGAGAGAGAGAGAGAGAGGGGGGGGGAGAGGGAGAGAGAGGGAGAGAAGAACCACTGCATGGCACTCAAATTATGAAAAAAAGATTTGTCATACACAGGTGCCTGTCTATTTATTTTGGAAACAAAATTTCAGCAAAAATTTCAACCAGCTTCTCAACAGGGTTGTATATGCTTAACCAAGTATGTTGTTACCTCATCAGTACAGAGGACTAAAGGTGAATTCTGTTGGAATTAGACTTTGTTAAGCATTTCATCAGTACAATTAGTTTTTGATTAAGATGTGGAAAGCATTTTGAATTTTAATTGTAAGACAAGAAATGCCTTTTATGTAGAAAGCATGTCAGTGTTAAAAAAAACACATATAAATAAGCAGAGCTCCAATTTGTGCAATTAATCATCTGTACAATTTTGAGGATCACAGTCATAGACGCTGGCCCTATTTATCAATATGAGTAGTTTTATGCTTCAAAATCCTTATTTATGGACAAATCCAAATGCAGGTATTAGCCAGTCTGAAAGCAAGTTGGCTTACCAATGATGTCCTATTTAATAAATGATCCCATCCACCTTTGTATCTGCATCTGAGCAATCTCTGTCCAGCCCATCCCAGCCCAACCACTTCAGAGGAATGAAAGTTCTCTCTTTGTTCCAGAAAGGAGGGTACAGAGAAGGAAACTGAGGTTGGGACAGGCTCTCACACAGATTTCATCTTCTAGCACACACCTCCTCTTCTTCAAGCTGATGCTGCTCATATATTAATCTCTGAGATGTGGCAGCTACTCTCGAGGAAAACTCTCTTTGAGTTTGATGTAATAGGAAAGACCAAAAGTGAGAGGAATGGGAGTGACATTATCTTTTCATTCCATTTCCAAAACTTCTTGCAGGTTTCCACTCCTTAATCCTATTTTTCCTCAATCTTTAACCTGTGTTTTGGAAACTCAACCTTTCCAGAAACAGCCATTCAGAGACATCTTTTCTCAAACATACAATTGATTCAGAGTTTTCAAAGAGCTACCACAATTCTAAGAAAATACATATATTCAAGACTGACATTCAGTTCAGAACAAAGAACCAAACCACAGCAGATGCACCTCACTACTTACCAGTACTGCTGAGAGAACTACTGCTTTCGGAATCCGATGGCATTATAGAAAGAACACTATACGTTGATCCTGAAAAAAGGAGATTAAAGGCGATTAAATCCAGTCTGCAGCACCTTCTCTTTTATCTGCTTCCTGTATCTTCTCAGTGTTGTCAACAGCCATTTACCCTATAATTTGTAGTAGAATCCCCATGGCAAGCAACTTGCTCCTCCAGGCAGCCAAGCAGGGAAGCTTATCAAGAGCACGATTAAGATTCACACGTGTTCCTTCAGCACATGAAGGATTTGAATGACTGCCCCCAAGTTTATCCATACAGTACCTAACTCTGCCTGTATTACCATCCATATCATTTTTACAGTAGACTTGTGAAAAAGAAAATAAATGTCATAAATCTATGTCCCCTTTTGTGTCTACCTTAGATTGTACCCATTTAGTTAGATGCCATCAAGTTGGGCTTGACCGCTGGTGACTCCATGGGCAAATGCTCATCCTCTCATCCAGTCCCTGGCAACACCTGGCAGCACGTCCAAGGACAGTCTTCTAACTGCTTTATTTGCCTACATCTGCCTTATCCATTGCCTTTCCTCGCCTCTATTTCCCTCAACCTTGCCAAGCAGAATAATTTTTTTTCAAGTCCATACACAAAGAGACAGTATACATAGCTTAACCGAGTTTCATACAGAGGAAAACTCAACCAAACATAGTTTTTTTCCAATCTCTTTCTCCAAAACATAGAATTATATGGGTGTGATAGCAATCCCCAAGCCTCTGATAGTATTTCTTTCACCCATTTTCACATCTCTAATCCACTGGCTGGTTAACAGTTTAGCTCTGCTCCCTGAAAGGATAGAAAGAAGAAGGCTTTCAACTGATGTCTTTGCAAAATACCAAAGTCTTAACAAACAGGTCTCCTTTCTCCTTGACAATGTCTAGTTACAGCTACAGGGCAACTTAGAACACAAGCAGCTGGTGGCACACAAAGGGGGAAAAAAATAACATACGGAGATTAACAGGTGCCAGAGAAATTAAGATTCAGAAACTTAGGGAGGAGATTAACATATTCATCTAAAAACAATTAAATGAAAGAGTGTTGTTCTGTCATGAACCTCAAACAGTTGCATAGCTTTAAAAAAAAAAAAAATCAAAAGCACTGATTGTTGTCATTATTTGAACAAAAATTGGTCCAGTACAAGTCTATTTGAATGTCAATATATACTTTATTTAGCTATGACTAAACATATGCCATCCACTGTTACAACAGCCAAGAACTGCATTCTGTTGCACTGAAAGACCTCAGAACTTCAGGAAATGAGGATAACTGAATCATAATTATACCCCACCATAAAGAAATGGCTCATGTTAGAGACCCTGAACCTTGGAGAACACTGAACATTTTCCCTCCTGGTAGTTCCACTAACAAGCTACTCAAATTTACAAGGCTTCCTCCCTGCCAATTCCAATGACAATGAACCTAATTCCTAGGCGAATAGTCAACTAGAAGCTGCCATCAAACTTTTTTGGTAAATAACAATCCCATTCTGATCTACTCCCCATGTGCAACTTACGACATTCCCCATTAAGAATTTCCACTAAATCTGTATTTCACAAGACTTGAATGGAATTGTATCAAGACCAGCCGCCTAAGAAACATATTTTTCAAATCTTTTATGAAGGGATCATTTTTCATTGAGTTTGCATCTCAAAACTTTTAGATGGCATTAACATACTCCTAAAGAATTATGGGAATGAGTCTATCTGGTTTCTAAAAACAATACCCAAGGAACTTCTAGAAATGTCCATTTTTTTCCAACTCTTGGTAAAGTACAAATATAACTAAAAGTGGCCAGTCAGTTTGATATCTGTCCTGCTAATGAGGCACCAGGCTAGAAACCAGGAGACCGTGAGTTCTAGTCCTGCCTTAGGCACAGAGCCAGCTGGGTGACCTTGAGCCAATCACTCTCTCTCAGCCCTAGGAAGGAGGCAAGGGTAAACCTCTTCTGAAAATGCTGCCAAGAAAACTGCAGACTAGTCCAGACAGATGCCAGGAGTCAACACTGACTCGAAGGGACAAACAAATGAACAAACAAACAAAAAGCTGATACTAACTTACTGTTTTGTACCTTCACTTTCAAAGTAGATCATTTTAAAAAGTAGTAACTCATTCAACTTTTTTTTAAAAAATTCAAGCAAGAGTTATTCAAATTTAGTCCAGCATTTAACTGATTACATCAGATACGTTGGCATCAGATATAAGCCACTGGTGGACCTCTTGAGGAAGAAATGCCGGACTGAAGACAGCTCCACAAAAAGCAGAGTTGACCACCACAGTAAAGAATGAAGAGCCAGCGAGTAGACCGGCTCTTCGAACCTCTCCAGACAAAGAGAGGACGGGAGATTGCCCACAAGTGCTCCAGACAGTTGCTCCTTGTGAGGAGACTGCAAGACAGCCGTCTCCAGCAGGATTAAAGCTCTGGGAGGCAAGGGAATAGCCATCTTGCTCAAACTGTGGTTGGCGCCTTTGAAAGGACACTAAGTTCGCACACTTCCTTTTCTAATTGCATTTGGAAATTTGTTATTAACTACTTTTCAGCTATTGGAAACCTTTGGATTGACAAGTCTGAAAACAACAGGTGAGTCTGTCTTCAATCCTTAATGAAAGAAAATTTTTAACTACGAGCTTAAGAACTTAAAAAAAAAATTGAAATAAACAGCAAAAAGCTAATTAAGACTTTAATTTTAGAAAGTTATAAACAGATTAAGGGTCTAGATAAATTTGAAATAAGATTTTGGAATTAATTATAAAGAATCCTTCCTGTGGGAAAGTCGACTTGTTTTTAATTTTTTCTAAGACATAGAAGAGGGAAACAATTTTAAAAATTGGACACTAGAGAGAACTAAAGATTTTAATTAAAAGAGAAGAATACATAAACATGATTAACAGCCACAGAATGATGCAAAATATTATAACATTGGAAATACTGAAGGATACTTTTGAAAAATGGAATCAGAACTTAATAACAACAATGTCAATAGTGATGCTTGCTTTTATAGACAGACTGTGTCCAAAAGAGATTTTGGAAGAAATGGCAGAAGAGGAACTAGTTTTATTGACAAGACAGAGTTGACAATGAAAGTGGATCTACAAATGACAAGCTACAAGAATATGGGAAAAGATGTTTCATTCGACATAAAAAAGAAATCAGTTGATGCTTTAAAAATCAAAAGGGGAATTACAAATAATAAACCAAGACAGTGACCTGGATAATTCTTTTATATTGAATTTACAAAAGAGGTTTCTTAAAGCTTGAATGAATCTTATGAGAAGGGATAAAAAAGAAGTCTACGACATTACTTGAATGGACTAAAGATTAAGATTGTTAGAAGTAAAAGGAAGGAATATAAAGTTGGTTTATTTGATCAAGGTTAAAATAGATATAGTGTTATTTCTAGCAACCCTTAATTGACTTTTGCTGACACCAGGACTGAAATGATGATGCTCTATGGACTTGTTTATAAATAAGAGATGGGATAAAGGAAGAAGAGTTCATCTGCTATATTTTAAGAGGAGTGATAAGTTACTAAAAATTGTTTATACAGTGGTACCTCGGGATATGAACTTAATCCGTTCCGTGACTCTGGTTGCAACTCGAGTTGGTCTCAAGTCGAGGTAAAGTTTCCCATAAGGTTCAATGTAAATCTAGTTAATCCGTTCCGCCCTCCGAATTTGGTCGCAACCTGAGGCAAATTTCCTCATAGGGTTCAATGTAAATCTGGTTAATCCGTTCCGCCCTCCGAATTTGGTCGCAACCTGAGGCAAATTTCCTCATAGGGTTCAATGTAAATCTGGTTAATCCGTTCCGC